TGCGCCCGGAACGGCCGTTGCCGGCTTGATCCTAGCCTTGCGAATACTTTTCTCATTTTTCTTTTACTTCCCGGTCTGCTGCCAAAAATGGGAAACTTGAACCCAGTCGTTCTAATCAAGGGGCCCTATGTATAGCTACCTTGAGCCTGATTTCTTTCTCGCCTCAGTTGTAAGCAGTAATGGGCTTGGGATGCGATTTTCGGTCGTGCTATGCGATTATGATACGTTCTGACACATGAATCAGCCAAGACTGGGCCATATAGATCAGGCTATTAATACCAATTTCATATATAGTACACCATGTAATGAAGCACCAAAGCTGATTCAAACACACCGGGGAGGGCGTATGACTTTGCCGACATATCGATAGAACTGGGGTTACTACTCTGAATGACTCCAGGTGGCTTTCAATCTACATAGTTTTGAACGCTTCTATATTATCTTTACACGTACCCAGGCATGTAAGCGACTGTTTCTAACTTGGTACAATCAAGTATGTATTATTCTAAAGATAGTCTTTTTACCCAGAGCTCGAGCTGCTTTAGTCATATAATGAATGGGAAGGAGATGTATGGATCGTAAGACCCTAAATAGGAAGGTTTGCTCAGGTCCAACAAGAGACAGGGTAGGAATATGACTATTATGGATTGAAGGCCTGATGAAGATGAAGTACGCATCTTCGGCGTACAGTAGCACTTGCATTATGAATTTCCTGCTGGCAGGCTATGAGCTACAACCCCCAGCAGCCATTTTTGTCAGAATCTGAAAGGCGTATGCCACCTTCACGACTATTTGGCAATGGCTAGTACTAATGAATCCAATTTCGGTTGTACTTCTAAGTGATATTCCCAGGACACAAAGATGTACTAGAAGAGCTTCAACCAACCATGGAACCGGATACAGGATAGTAAGAAACTGAGGCAACACCTTTAGACCAAAGGCACCCGCGATTTCAGTTTTTTCTGTGTGGATCGTGATCACTTACGTCCCATCAACACTGTGCATGACAGATCGACGTCCATGGAGTCTCTACCCTGCAGTTCGATGTCGCGATCCCCGCCCAAAGACCATGCTGAGGTTCATCTAACCATCCTTGATGACGGCGAATCATCGCAGGCTTTAAGCACGGGTGCTGCAGCTCCGCTAACACTTATAAGAAGAACTGCAGTAGTATTCCAGCTTTGCGGGATCAATTTCGCCACGAGCGCATCCAGCGGTCTCATAGTCATTGGACTTCCCCAACTGACCTCAGATCTCAATATACCGCAGTCGCTCGCTTTCTGGCCGTCATCAGTTCAAGGGCTAGCCACAGCTTCGGCACTGCTACTCTCAGGTGCCGTCGCTGATGTCTTGGGGCCCCGATCCGTTAATCTTTCGGGGTGCATACTCAACGGCGTGTTTATGTTATCCTGTGGATTTATCAAGAGCATTCAGCAGTTGATTACTATGAGGGCATTGCAGGGCGTTGCCATAGCGATGCATTTCTCCAGTTCTGTAGCTCTCGTAGCTGACACTCAGCCCCGTGGACAGAGCCGAAACATATCGTTCGCTTGCCTGGGTTTAAGTCAGCTGCTAGGCTTCACCTTTGGCCTTGTCGTTGGTGGCGTACTCGTGGATACTGTTGGATGGCGCTCGGGATGGTATCTTTATGGAGGCATTACCCTGCTCCTGTCCGCCGTCGGTCTATGGTCACTGCCAAAATCCGAGCCGCTCGGTTTCCGAAACATATTCGTTGATTTGATATACAGAGTCGATTGGATCGGAGCACTACTCGCCTCGGTTTCCATGGCCTCGATTTCCTATTTCTTAGCGTAAGTTGAGGTATTTCTAATTGTAACCAAAATGGTACTAACCAGATCAAGGGTTATCAGCACGGACGTCCATCGTATCAAAGAGACCGGGACTGTTACACTCCTATGCTTCAGCTTGGCGACCCTGCCACTGTTTGTTGGTTGGATGCATTACCGAGTCAAAAGAAGCATGCCGGCTCTAATACCTAATTGCTTCTGGAGCAACTCTGCGTTTACTACCATATGTATTGCTATAGCTTTATCGTTTGCAGTGCTGAATTCTGTTGATCTTCTTACAAGTCTCTAGTAGGTGAACGGTCAGAACGTTTTGAATGAATGTTTTACTGACTATACGCCCACAGCTTTCAAGAGATCCAATATTTGTCGGCTGTCGACGCCGGAATCCGCATCCTTCCCAGTACCGTCGTCGGACTAGGCCTCAATCTGATGACCGGCCTCATCGTGCATAAAATACCTGCTGTCTGGCTTGTAGCGGTCTCGTCGCTACTTTCCTCGGGATCGCCGCTTCTTATGGCCGTGATCAATCCCAGTTGGTCCTATTGGGTCGGTGCCTTCTTTGCACAAATCCTTCTGCCATTTTCTATCGATGTGCTCTTCACCGTCGGACTCATTATCGTTACTGAGGTTTTCCCTGAGAAGAATCAATCCGTTGCTGGTGCTGTCTTCAACACGGCCGCGCAGTTTGGGAACGCTCTGGGGTTGGCTATTGTGCAGGTAGTCTCCGCAGCGGTAACAAACCAAAAGATCAACCCAAAGTCCCCCGAGGCTCTCTTGGAAGGTTACCGCGCATCTTTTTGGACTCTCTTTTCCCTAATGCTTGTTTGCGTGCTTGTGGCAGCACTTGGGCTACAGAAAGCGGGTAAGGTTGGATCGAAGCGTGATTGACATGATCCTCTGATCTACTCCTCTCCATCCATGGTCTTCTTATTCTACATATCTCGTATTTCAAAACCACGATGGAGTGGTTGAACGACGAAAGATTATCACAGGTTCACGGTTTTATAGAGTGTGTTCAAAATGCGAATGCGACGAGATGCGTTATGGTCATGAATTGATTATGGCAATCAGGTTGTCAAATAAGACGTTGAGTGGAGACAAGGAATATATGCAGTTTAATCAAACAGTTTGTAACCACCAAACCGATGTTAAGCGTGGCTTACAGAAACTGACTAGCTCCAGAGCCACTACCTTGAGGCACCCTCAAACTGCACCCTAGATGAACTACTGTGTTCAAATTTGATGACGACAACAATGTGTTATTTATTAACTTCTCGGGGTTCTTCTCAGCAACGTGCAATTACTTCTACGGCTGATGGTGGTGGAAGCGTATATCTGGACGGATAGTTCGCGTCCCAGCAAATAACCCTAGTTTCAAAGCATGATAGATCTACAAGATATCACTATAGATAGATATTACGTCTTAGATGACTGGGTATTCTTTCGTGCTCGACCTCTTTCATATGGCTTTCTGTCATCAACGGTGGCTCATTACCCCCAGCTTTGGTAGGCGTCTCTCCGCCTTCCTGAAAGGACCAGGTAAGGGTGTGTGGCTTCTGGATCTTGGTCTCTCATAAAGGCGTCACGGATCTATAGCTCTATCTCTCATAACCCTACGTCGTGAGGTTTGGAGATAGAGGCCTAGGTACGTTGAGGAGACGTAATCGGTAAGAAGTGTGTACCTAAGTATCTCTCATTATAAATAACAGCAAGCCGCCCTCATCTTCCATCCATTTATTCTTCTCTCTCATCTTGATCATTTCTCCAATATATCGTTCCAAACCAACAGATGCCGATGAAAGTCATCCAGAAACTCCTTCATCACCTTATCATGAGAAGAATCAGTAAAGTCTCCACCGCTATTACCGTATCATTTGCACAATGCAAAGGTCGTCATTCTAGCAAGACCAGAGAGAAGAACAAGTCGCATCGGCATGAGAGGAGGCTATCCCGACGAGAACCCAAATTTACGAAGCGTGCTAAAGAGTCTATGAGCGAGGGATCATGGTTGGCTAGTTTACTGACACGGGCGACACCACGCAAGAAATCGGCCATGAGATCGAAGAAAACCTCAGATGCATGTGATTCTGGGGATATTGAAGCGTAGTTTTAATATTTGTACAGAGAAGTGCGGTAGCTTACACAAGCCCAAGAACTATTCCACTTCCCCCCGACGTGGAAACAAGTTCCCCGACAATGACGACGATGCTAATTTGCCAAGCATTGAGGAAATCTATAAGGGCCTGCAAGTGAACCGGAATAAGAAACGACTATCTAGAGGTGACCAGTGAAATGAAAGGAATAGAAGGTGCTTTTCAGGATTTAACAGTATTCCTAGGGGGTTTGGCTGTCATAACTTAGTCATATGAGCAGCGTAATGACGCACTATTTCGCAATCCTGCAGTCTCTCTTGACTATTTTAATATACTTCACGAGGAATAGTCACCACCATTTACAGTTTCTGTGCTTCTTTGTAGCCCTTGGACCAGGAACTCAAGACAGAACAACGACGTGATAGAAAGACATATGTAAGATAATATATGGATTAGAAACTAAATTCTCACGAAATTTTAAATCACATTATAGAGGTCGAATTACAAACTTTCGTCATTGGTACCTGTGTACCAGGCGTGATTGAACAGTTAGCTTGTCAGGTACGATCATTTTCTAGCAAGACCTGACCGAGGTGTCGAAAGCCCTCGTCTGATACACCTCTGATGTCCCAAAAGCACTTCAATCGACAGTATATCAGTACGAATGTCCTGTGAGCTGCCGACACAAGCAGGTGACTCATATTGCATCGTACAGCCATATCTATGGCCTACACCTTCCGTAAACAGCAAAGGGAGAGGCAATGTTCCGCAGCCTTTCGTAAGGCTATTCACCTGTCCAGTCTCAGTTGTATTGATCCTGAATGGGCAGTAGGCCATAATTATCTCCTCCGATACTATTCAATTCATTCTCGCCATTCAGCCTTTGTTACGACATTGTGGGCTTCAGCATGAGGTCTCTGTGTCGGACGGCAAACCTATAATTCGTCTTGGCTTTATCATAAAAGCCAAAAACTGTGCAGATAAGGAGTTGCTCAATTCGACTTTTGGAGTAGCTACACGTGCGAATATGGATGAAACGACCATATTGCTGTACCATATAACTGCCCGATCATCTATATTGTTGAAAGGGACGCGAAGCCTTGAGGCAGTCGTTTGGCATATATCTGCCTTTCAACAGGAATAGCCTCCGTTTCTTCAATCTCCTCCTATTCCATTTCGTCGCTTGTAAGAAATAAGAATGCGAGGCGCGCATTTGAAATCATTCTCCCAGTCAGGAAAGAGCATACACAAGTTTCCCCAGGTGAGTGATCTTCTGGTTATTCATCGACAATCAAATAACCCCGGGTCAGATCCTTGTCGAAGTCACAGCTGCTGACATCTGCCAGCCACTTTCAGTGATCCACAAGGCCAAAGCGATGCAGCTTCTGACCGCTAATGATGATCTCACTCAACTGACAGGTGGGAGACCCCTCGATGACATTTCCAAGATGCCATCAGACGATCGCCGCGCTGTACTCTGTAAGTACTTGGTGAAGGAGGATCCAGTCGTGGTGCAAGAACCTATTGCTTGGTCAGATGAGGAGAGTATTGGAAGGTTTCTTCTTCTAAAAAGATTCCTCAATAACGATGAGTCTCGACAGCATCTTCTTCTAGAAGCTCGAAGGGTGTTTTATGAAGAGAACTCATTCATAATCTCTTTGAGCGGATTCTCTCGCTTCTTAGATGATATGCTTGGCGATTGGGAAGATGCTGTTGCGGTCGAAATACTCGTACGCGACCTTACGATCAAGGTGGAAAGGCAGGACTGTCAATGCGGGCAATTGATGGAATACATCCAGCGCCTCTCTTATTTTGCCAAGATGCCACAACTTCAAAAGTTTACGATTGAATGGTATACTCCGCCGAAAAATGTGGACGACGGTTTGCCTTACGACTGGAGTACGCTATCTAGCAGTAACAGTAGTAAAGGAACCAGCTTACACAGCGTCACGGACGATGATAGTACTTACGAGGACGGAGGTTCTAATGAGACTTTGAGATGGGAGACTTCGGACGATGATATCTGGAGCCTGGATGGGGATGTGCACGGGTGAGTTGCCATATAAGACATGTGGATCAGGAGGTGGATGCATGTGGTCATCAAGTGTATGAGACAATTTCATAGTGCAAATAGCTGGGAGCCGTCGGCTTTGTCATTTGGCCGCCATACTCTACTGCGGTATGTCAATTCATATACATACGACAAGTCGTTTGTTTTGTTGGTATTATTAGTAAAAGTCTCTTGTATTCTTACCTCCTACCCTCTTCTTTAGTCTGAGGACTTCTAAGCTTTTACATTACGGTCATGACAGCTGGCAAGTTGCTATACCGGTCTATTCTATGGACGCCATTGGTCATGTCTAAAACTAGCGTTTGGGTCATGTCTTACATGATTATCGGAATTATTAACAAAACTTTCTGAAAGGAAGAAGTCTGTGTGAATAAGAATCGTGTCGCGGTTATTCTGAGTGGTGTCGTGCTTATTCTGAATGGTGTCTTGTTTCGTCCCTCTTTCGACTCTACCACCATGTTGCAAAGGTTTATCATTCACATAGTCAAGCTTCGATGAGACACATCTGGACCTCATCGCCGTCAATAATGGCCAAATGGTTGGCAAACACCCGGCCACAATTCCTAGAGTTGCCTCTATGACCGTCCATTTCGCGACATCTCTGTATACCAGTGAGTGAACAATCCTGAGATAACGCAACTGAATATAGATCTTACACTGTCTCGTAAAGAAAGTCTTCAGTAAGATCCAGCATCTTGATATAGGGAATGCGTACGATCATTGCCGCGCCCGCTCTGGCATATCCATGTATTGTCAGTCATGTAATGGACTTTGAATTTACACCAATATGGCTCCTCCTGTCCTCGAACATAGCCCCATGAGTAGTCTCATCGTTGCCAATCGGCTAGACGAGTCTACGGGGAGAGCTGTCCGAACATCCGAGCTCTTAACGGCTCAACACCAGTGATGTTTCCGACGTAAAGAAAATTGAAAATGTAAAACAACACTTACAGTACGCCTAAGCTCGTCAGAGCATGGATTGCAGCTTTGGTTTGCCACGGCAGCCATGATTTCCATAGGCTCATAATGGGCACTACTAGAGCCAAGATCCAATCGCTGAGGGCCAGAACAACGCTAAGAACTATACCAGCAATGGGTACGATACTTTTTGAACATGTGCCAGGTCTGACGGGATGCTTGAATTGCTCCCAGTAATAGCCAACTGGGGAGCATTGGAAAATGCTGGTCAAGAAAAACACAATCGACGTAGCCCAGACGCAGACAAGGCAGACGATCAAAGATATTCTCAGGATAGGCCTATTGACGATAGCCCCTTTTGATGGTTCGCCGATGTAAAGGCGATGGAGATACAGGACTACCGATGTTTTGGTGAAGCATGAAAGAATGGCATATATTAGTTCTCCGAAATACCAAGTTTGGAAGCCTTTGACAATCTCTACCCCGCTAATGTTGTCCGCATGTTGTCCAATTCCGCCGTCCACTATGCCGCGTACTATGATGATAACCTGGGCAGTATAGAGGAGCTGATAAAAGGGTCCACAGTCAGTGCCATTTTGCCATTATTCGGGGGCAGGAAACCTAAGTAAAGAGCTAATAGTGCAGCTATACGCGGTACACCTTTCATATTTAATGTGAACTTACCACAGATATATACATCAATTTGTCGTATATTACATGCTCTTTCATAATGACAGATTGTGCCCAGAACCGCAAGCATGCCGAGAGATAGACAAGTATGGTACAGCAGATCTGGATAATGAAGAGTTCGAGGGCTTTCTCGCTGGTATTCCAAGCCATCCTATTGGTGGGGATAGATAGCGGATGTACACGCTTCAAAGAATATCAAGGGTTATCCAGCAGTCACACCGCAGTTGGGGAGAGAAAATCAAAATCCTTCTGTACTACGCTTGCGGTCTAGTGATGTAGGGGTAGAGTGCTATCAGAGTGAAGTCTTATAATAAGACTCTTACCAGGCAGGCTTATTCTTCTGCCGGTTTGCGCATCGCCGTGATCTTATAAATCTTTGGACAGTCACGTCAAATATCGGACGACGAACCCTTCAAATTTAAGCCTTTTCTTAGAAGAATATTGGCCAAAATGGGCCGGTTTTTCATATCCAATGTCTCCAATGTTTCATGTGTTACCATGTGAGGTTTTGGCTCCTTTCTCCTAGCCACTATAAGATCAAGCTTTGCCGAATCATATTGACCTAGTCATCGTGGCATAGTAGCTATCAACGTTGTCAACTTGAATTGAGTTGCCAATTTTGTCTGTAGCTAAGCTACTTTTTACTTGGCAGACATCGAAATGATGATGAAGGGAACATCGCTAACTGGTAGTACTAACGAAGCTTCTCATTGGATAGACTCATAAACACTCTCGGGTAGGCTGCCAGGCGGGCACAAAAAATTCTGAAGAGGGTGGCAAAAGTAAATAAGCTGGTTATCGCTAAAAGTGAGGGTATTGGTGACCAAGGACCAAGTATTCATATCATTATCCTCTCACTGAGAGCTTGGAATCCCGATTCTCCTGGGACCCGACTGGCTGCAAAGGGGCATTAATGGAGCAAAATCGTTCGTTAGGCTTGGCGACCTCAGGACTATCTATCTCTTTGAGCGGCATAAGGCTCCGGCAGGTCACTCGCCCCACATTGCTTACTAACAACACTAACGTATTTCCCCATCAGTCCGTACACCCCTAGACCCCGCACACTTTTCCCACCAAAATTCAGCTTTTATAATAAAGGTTTAAAAATATATAAAAGAATTTCTAATTTTAGATTTTTCTTATTTAAGCTATTTAGGAGTTAAGTTATATAAATATTACTTTTTTTAATTTATATTATTAAAATATAATCTTTTATTATAAATTTAAATAATAATCTTAAGATAAAAGTTAAGAATTTAAATATAATAGGCTTTTTTTAATTATTATAATATAAACTTAATTTTTATATTATTTTTATTAACTTATTTAGCCTTTATTTATTATTAGAAATATTAAAATATTTTAATAAGTATTTAAATTTAATTTAATATTTAAGTTTTAAATAATATATAAATTTTTAGATTTTAAAATAAAAATAAAAATACTTATAAAAATACTTATAACGTTAAGCTTATAAATAATTTAATTTTTATAAATTAAAATACTTGTATATAATGAAAAGTATTTTAAAAGCCTTATTAACTTTAATATAAGGCTTTAAACTTATATACTTAAATATTCTCTTAAGAAAACTTTAATTTTAAAATTATAAGTTATTTTAAACTTATTTTATAAAACTTTTATTTTATATAAGTTATTTAATTTTAAAGCTACTTCTATATATATAATATTTAATATATATAATATTTAATATATATAATATTTAATATATATAATGTTTAATATATATAATATTTTAAATATTTATAAAATATATTTTAATAGGTTTTAAATACTTAATTTTAATTTATTTATAATATTTTTATTACTTATTTATTTAAGATAAAATTTTTTATATATATTTATTAAAGGTTAAATAATATAATAGAAATATTATTATTTTAAATATTATTTTATATAATTAATAAATTAAATATATTTTAAAAAGTTAAAATACTAAATATTAAATATTAAAGCTTATATAACTTAAGTAATAACTTATATATAAGATATTTTATATTATAATAAGAAAATCTTTCCTTTAAATATCTAAAAACTCTCCTTTTTATTTAAATAGCTATTTTATAAGTATTTTATTTTTATAGTTATAAATACTAGCTTTTAGTGGGAAAAGTGTGCGGGGTCTAGGGGTGTACGGACTGATGGGGAAATACGTTAGTACCTGCGGAGTACGTGAAGTTCTCGTCAGACAGCTTATTCATTCAACACAGCCAAAATCATCAAAATCCTCCTACAAATTGACCCTAACGCGTCTTAATTAAAACGATAAGCTCCCAAGAGATACCTGATTATATAGATGATCACAGCTTTAATACCCCGCCTTTGAGGGCGGCTGATAACCCCACCGGCATGCCTAATTTTCCGCCCGAAGAGGGCTGTGGTGATGATTTTCAACCTTTCAGCCTAGAATATCGTGATTTCAAGATCAACCCTCTACCCAAGAAACCACTTGAATTATTCCAGCTTTTCGTACCTATTTCCCTTATACAGTCATAGATTAAATACACTAACAGCTAGGCTACTTACTTACTTGAAAATAGGATTATTGACAACTAGAATACCCCCCTTTCTAAACAGTCCCGCATTCTCAAGTGGGAAGGCATCTCCACCGCAACAGCTTATATATGGCTTGGGGTCCTTATTTACCTAGGAATTCATAGGGAGATATCAATCAAAGACCATTGGAAGTCCCCTAGCCTAGGAGATCAGCGCCCTCTTCACTCAATCATTAAGTTCATGCCGTTACGGAAGTTCGAGCTGATCACGAGGTATTTCTGCACTGTTAACTACACCAAGCTCGATGTAAGGGATAAGAGCGACCTTCTAAAGACCTTCTAAGCGGCTAAAGAGTGGTCTAATCACATATAAAGCGTATCTATCAAGCTCTATTCTCCAGGGACTAACCTCACTATAGATAAGTATATGATCCCTTTTACAGGCAGATCAAAAGAGACAACAGTCGTCAAGAATAAACCCACGCCTATGGGGTTCAAAGTCTGGGTTATCGCCCAACAGGGCTTCTTTCTGCAGTGGCTTTGGCACGTGAAGGCATTACTATACAAGGCTGTTATAGTCGAGCTACCTACACTAACACCATATGGCAAGAAGGGAAAGCTATGGACCAAGATTCCTCTCAACAATACACAAAGCGTCGTGGTTCACCTACAAAAGGCTAGTAACGCAGACATATCACGTCTTCACAGATAACCTCTTCTCATTGCCGCAGCTCTTCCGCCTTCTTCGGCAGCTTGGCCACAGTGCCACAGGCACGGCACGCCCTAACTGCGGCATCACCACCGAGATAAAGGATATAAAAGAGACCGGAAAAGCTCCTAACGGCATAGCTTTGCAATATAATGAGGTGTATTTAATCCCAACACAAGATAAACAGGTATAGACAGCTTTACCTGTATTTCCCTTACTAATTTGTCCTTTTCCTTTCTCCCTAGGTCATCCAAATCGCTTGGAAAGATAGCAGCATCATGCTCTTCCTTTCAACTGTGCTTAGCAGAGCCCCTTACTAGCGCACACCAAAAAAGAGGAAAAGGCCCGCCAAAAGAGGCACAAAGGCAGAGTTACAGCGCCTGCAGCAGGTCTTCAATAGTGATAGCTTCAAGATAATCCCTATTCCTACTATTGCCGCTCAGTATAACGATGAAATAAATCACATTAACCGCGACGATCAGATACGGTCTTATACAACGTATTAGCACCGATTCCGGCGCGGTCCTTGGCAAGCGTTGCTTTGGTCTTTCCTCCTTGAAGTCGCACTTGCGAATAGCTTCATTTTACAGAAGAAAATACGGCAGCCTCGTTAGAAGCCCTATAGCACGCTTAAAGCTTGGAAGGAGTGCATTTATAATGCCATTTTCAACAGATACGCAACTGAAAGTCACATAAGGAAGAGAGGCCGTACATGAATGGAAGAAGACATCGAGGATACAGAAGCACGGCAAATTCACCTACAAAGAGATATCAATCATGTCCATCGGGGCATACATTCAAGCTGCAAGGCTTGCAAAGGCTTCCGGCAGGGTCAGGCCCGACCCTTTAAAAGGAAGAAGGAAAAAGGAGGTTATCTACAGCCGATACCAGGAAATAAACGAAGGGTGCAGATCGTGTACGGCTGCAAAGTATGTGATGTAGCTATTTGTAACACGGCTGACTGCTGGTACTTCTATCACACGCAAATTTAGGTGTGTGTCAATGTACTTCATGTAGCGCTCATTCTGATAGGTCCTACACCCCTGTCGTGACCCCGCCGGAGCTTTATGCCGCCTGAAGAGACAAGGCTCAGGCGTGGAGATTAGCGTCATAGATTAGAAGAGTTAACTACCCTAGACCATCTCGGAATATTTGTTAGTTTTTTGCTAACATAACAAGCGAGGCAGGTTAGGGCTGAGGGATAATTAATATAATTTATTTTTCAGATTTGTGCGATTGACGGCATGAGACATTGAATACATGTTAGATTTATCTATGCTGCGTGACTGAAATTGTAGTAAAACTCGTCGTTTGGCTTGAATGCGGTGTCGTCGCACACAAAGCCTTGTGTTGTTGTTTTTCTTGCCAAACCTGCCCAAAAACAAAAAAAAAAAAAACCACGATCACGCTAAAACATTCCAATAACCAGGAATTTCAAGTCTCACTACGGGAAATTAATCCAACTACCCGTTCAACAGAACATGGTTGAAACTAAAAGAGCAATCAGATCATGATCTCCGATAATCATCGGGCATCGATATTCCATATCGAGACTCTTGCATTCATGTTTTAGTGTCTGTCTCAGTTTTTTGGTCATTATGTCCTCTGCGCCGCGCCGGGCTAGCTCTGGTCGAGATTCCGACCTATTGAATCTGAGCAACAAAAAGCGGGCACCAATAACCTGCGAATGACGATCGTTTTCTTGCCACTCACTTTTTTACGGCCCGGATATGAATGGCCGATTGTAAGAAGCACAGGGAGTGTACCTGGGCTTGTCTGTTCTGGTCTAAATTGTACCAGAGTACAGCGTGAAGTTAAGCTTAGTCTAAATGCTTAAAACACCATCACTAAATACTTTAAAAAATGGAATACAAATATTATTTCGCATTTTCCAACAGAAGCAAAAAAGAGAAACATTCATGGTGCGATTGCCGCGCTCGTACGATTCCATTTTCATCCCCCGCAGCTCAGACCAGCCGAAATGCAAGCCTCAAATGCATTGGAAGCCCTTGTGTTACACAAACCATAAGGGCATTCGATACAAACAGTCTCAGACGATGTGAGGAGGTATTTGAGGATCGTGATTGGCGACAAGACCTACATTTGCTTCTGCTGGCAAAAAAAAAAAAAAAAAAAAAAAAAAAAAAATTCCCGCATCCATGCTCCCGCAGGCCAGCAGGTATATATGAAGTCCATAATCCTCACGAGAAAGTGAAGATAACCAACTCAAGAACAATATTTATAAATCCACTTATCACTGGGAAAAACTACGCATCATGTGCCAAAAGATTGACGAGAACGGCAACAAAGTACAACAGCAGAGTGAAAGCTGCCGCCTGCAAACTCCAACAACGTTTACCAGATCTGCAAATGGTTCTATAGATCACTCTCGACACCACGTCGAGGCATCCTCCATCCGCGCACAAGAATTAGAATACGACTATGATCACCGCCGAACAATGACAATCCAATCCCAGCATCGTCAATGGCCTCAGGATATCTGGGTTCACAGTCCATATGGCCGACAGCTGTACCAGGCTGTGTTGATGTTTGAGATTGAGACAGAGACGACTGTTCAGGATGGCAAGTCGGAGACGAACGGACATGCTTCTAAGAGCTGTTCAGCGTGATGGGGTTTTTTGTTAGAGGGGAATGGACGGGAAAATGGGAGGGTATGGAGTACACGAGGAGTTGGGGGTCTGTTAGGACATCACCAATTGATTGGGATTTATTCTGCATTTCGACAAAAATATAAAACAGAATCAAGAGCTTTCTACGTCTGTGCCATTGGGGTCAGTGTCCGAGCATGGTCAGCACGATTGATGAGAAACAATACATCGCATGTTTATTCCCTAGCATAGATTATCTTTCTATCATTCACATCTAGTCAATTCATGCAATGCAATCAACGCCCAAACTTCAACTCAACATCGCAGATCTTGAAATAATGAAGGGGGTAGCTCACTAATGCGTACTCCGTAGTATCAGTGAAGACTTTTATTCGTCAGATCCACTACCTGGGCGCTCACCAGGTTCTGGGTAGGCTGGGAGCAAGTTAGATCCCCAATTTTATATCCTGTATCAAATACATTAAATATTACTTCAAATCCAGTACTCCGCCTTTGTTTGGTTTGGAATAAGAATTTGGCATCTTTGACAATTTATGTGGCAGTCGACAGCGCACAGATTCAAAAACTTCCAGTAGAACAGCGCTAACAGCGGGGAGTGGAGACAGACAGGTAGCCTCATCGTAAGTGAGTAATGACTCATCATGCAAAGATGGACTTAATTGTGCCATGTTGCTGGCTGGCTAGTGTCTCAGCCTAAAGCCCCTATGCACATCAGTATGCGACGTGACTGCGCTCGTCAAAAAGGACCTCAAGCACTCATGATGAACTTATACTGGCTGAAGGAAACAAAACACCGCTAAGAGACTACGCACTTTCTACCCAGGAAGATAGTTAAAAATAGCGATTTTAGTTCAAACACTGCTAGAGCAGAATGAGCCTGTAGTGGAGTCCCTAAGAGCAACACTAATAACATCTAACTTTAAATATAGATATTACAGCAATAAGGACTTAAAACCCATAAAAATATATATATAACGTATTTAAGACCCTATTACGGAGTACATGTGTACGATAAATATGGGGTATTTTTATTGGCTATGAACAGATGTTGTTGATTTAGTGGTTGGCTAACCTAGTCGGTTACGTAAATGACCACGGCACCTCAGCGCATCATTATTCTTCCGCGCCATCGCTAAACATACGCGTGTCACGTCATCTTGAAACTTGACCAAAACAACAAACGATAGCGCAACCGACATCAACCATCTGAGGCCTCAACCATCTGCTTTTCGCAGTCCCAGTCATGGAAAATAGATGGGAGAAATCTAGAGAGCCACCATCTCTAGAACTAGCACCCCAGCACCAATACTTCAAGTCACCTCGGAAAGTCACTCCACCAGAGCACACAGCCCTTCCTTCACCTCCCGCGACGATCGAGGCTGAACGCATTCGAAACAGTCCGAATCTACCGCGACGGCTTCTCGAAGTTAAGTGCAAAGCTGAGACTTGCGACCTTGAGCCTTTGACATACATTCCTATAAACCCGGCGGAGTATGCCAGCGCCTCCGACCAGATTGAGTCTGCATTCAAACGGTTTGACTACGAACCAAAATCAGGCCGCATTATTTTGCGTATGCCTTCTCCAATCCACGATAAATTCGCTGCCTCGCTGGTCAGCTTTATAGAGCAGGAAATATTGAGAATTGGTCGCGAGAATAGTAAAGTTCGTGGCTTTACTTCACAGCTTCATACAGAAGGTTCTTCTCGAATTTTCCTTCCCTATGAGGAGAAACGAGAGAATGGAGACACGATACCGAAAGAGCTGCGTCGCCAGCCAGATGGCCAATTTAGGCTTGAGGGGGCTAAGTATCCTGGCCTCGTTTTCGAAGTGTCATACTCGCAGGACAAAAAGCAACTGTCCAAGCTTGCGAGGCAGTATATCCATTACACAGATGGTAATATCAAAGCCGTCATCTGCATTGACATCAATTATGGGAATACTCAATCCACTATCTCACTCTGGAAGCCTCGATTTGATCGAGACCCAGAGAGTGATGATCCTGACGCCTTCGTATTGGTAATCGAGCAAAATATCAAAGAAAAGGTCTTTTTAATTCGCAGCACTGATTTTGCCAAAAACAATAGCTGACTTACCTATTATAGCCTTTCCGGACAGCTGGTGGAGAGCCGTTGAATACGGGCAGTGTATTGACGCTATATCTCCACGACTTCGCGCCAGATCAATCCTGTCAAGGCATACCAAATATCCCTATATCCATATCTTTTGCCACTATCTGCGAGTTTTTGGAACGCGCTGAGAAGGCGCAGAAGGATAGAGAGTCTAGAAGTACTGGTGGTATCAGGTCAACTCGCAAATTGAGGAAGCGCGAACTGTCATCTAGTTCACTTGAGGATTTGGCCCTGGATGATGAGGCAAGGTTTAAAGAGCAGGAGGAAGCGGCTGATACCAGGGCTAGTCATCGCGATGATACCTTTGTGCCGCGACTGGGGGATGCCAATGTCATTCATCGCGATCGTGACTTGAGATGGCGAGCGGCGAAGCGGCGTGCCTAGTGGCCTTGCCTCTTCCTTTCTTTTCTTGGAGGAATCCTGGGAGTATGGACTTGGATACGCAAAAAGGATGAATGATACCCATGACCAGGTATGTAAGGGAAAGAGGCCCTTACTGCCAGGCTGAAGTATATGCTTGAGAACATTATTCACAGCCAATCAACTACTACATCAACCACGCAGTATCTCTTAGCGACTATGTGTACATTCCCAATTCTCATTCAATGTTAAGCCATCGAACCATAGTGCTCAGATCTCACCGGCTATGCTTGGACCTTTTTACTATATGTTCAAGTATTAGGCCTATGGTAGACACTCCAGCCTGGAAGATGACTAAAAATAGCGATTTTAGGTCAAACACATACAAAGCAGAACGAGTCTTGCATTGGCGGTCGATCCCAACATACGATAGTTTCTAAAGTCCTTTTTGCGATAGCTATCGGGTGTATCGAGCATAGATCTAGAAGTGCTTTGACGCTTTTATAGAATTGATTGCCCTGATGTTGAAATGTCACAGGAACTAGATAATCCTACAAGTTAATTCGATTTTTTGCGAATTTTCCTCGGCTACTTCATGATAAGCAGGATGCTTGATTCATTTCATTGCTTCAGAAACCTCCCGGTAGAGCTACAAATAGAGATTTGGAGCTCCGCCGCTCGTCCTGCAAAGGCAGGTGTACAAATCTTCAGCTTGAGCAGCGGTCATAGAAGTCAACCGCATGAAGACGGCGCTCCGGAAGTTCCTTGGGCCGATTCCTACTACCTCACCGCTCCCAAGTGGGCTTTTGGCCCCCAGTCCAGTCGATTCAATGGCTTTGACGAAATCACCGCCTCATGGACTAAAAACAACTTTTCGACGTACCTGATCGACTCGGGTCTCTGGAGTGCCTGTAGGCAGTCACATCGTGTCATGAGAGATATACTCGGCCCCACCAAGCCCATAGTCATCCGGACGAAGGTGAGATGTGGCCGTTCGAATGTCGAGGTCGACGCACCAGAGAGCGACTCTTCCCAGTAGCGCAGTATTATCGTGTCTCCAAGCCAGGACCTCTTTATTCTCCAACCAGATGATCCTGACATGTTCAGTCGGTTTTTGTTTGAAGATGTCATTCCGAACAACACAGCCCAGGGCTTGCTACAGATACCGCACGTAGGCTGGCAATACCCCCCATCATGGGCTTCGAGCCTTCACGAATCCTCCCGGATCAGAAGCCTTGTCTCCTTATGCTGTTACATTGTATATGGTGCAAGATTTGGGGGTCTGGAAACGCTATGGCTCATCAACTACCGCATTAAGCGAAAGCATCGGGTATCATTGAAAGAAGAATTTGACGGGCCGAAGCCCAAAGTCTTCGAAACAGACGAGTTTCGGCTCGTAGAGGTGGAAATCGACGATAACATCCGTTCACCAGAACAACTGCCGTGGGACGAGGTAGTGGAAAGGGGTGATTTTTACACTCTGGACGATTTTCTTGCCTTTGTGAGACTGCTCCGGCAGTTAGTGACCCGTACACTTCTGTCTACTCCAGCTCTACAGACCGCCAAACGCACCGTTAGCATCAAAGTTCTAGCGTATGAACATTTCAATGATTGATTGGCACAGTACGGAAGATGGTTTCCTGAACTTCGTGGACGATCAGGCTTTTCCCACCTTGACATTTTCAAATAAAGACAATTGTATTCGACATATTAACTAGATAAACCAAGGCCGCCCCTCAACAACACAATGTTTTTATTTAGCATGTAAGGGGGGATAATAATACCAAATAATCAGATAGTTCTCTTATGTATTACATTATAATTCTATGTATTCCCGACAAAGCAATTGACTTTGCTTGATAACACAATCAATATCTGATGCCCGATCATTTCTTTCAGTGATAAAAGTGGAAGACTAAACTCTCTCGCCTCCTCAGATCCATCAGCTCTGAAATTCCCAAACAAAATGACTGTTACCTCAGCCGCAAGAGGGATCACCTTACTACTAGTCAATGAAACTCATATCTGTCATTTTGCGCACCAGAACGCAAGATGTCTTTGCCTCCATGATACAATAGCCATGTACATAGCCACTGTCACAGCGAATGCACTGACATAACTCATGCGGGCTTATTCTTGCTCTATTGACCGTCCTGGTTCGTATGATCACGCCTTTCTAACATCTTGGTCCTTGCATATGCAGGCCGAAATCGGCCTCACACAATGTTTGTTTCTGATCATTTCACAAATTTGTCCCCTTTGTGAACTTGACAGTGCGTGTCCACTCTGTTTCCATCTATCTTTTGCCGGTTGTCATTTAAAGCTGGCCCTCAAGTTAAGGTGATTTAGATTCACATATTCGGTCACTGTTCCGTGGTACTGCAATGCAGTGAAGCAACATCAGTAGTTGGGTCGAGGAGTTACACTGTGGCGCAAAATCGGAATGAACGGTGGAAACATATAAGGACAACGTGACCCAGTCGATCTTGTACTTGTCGTCAGGGGAGTTTTGGGACCAGTTACCAAGGAAAGAAGCAAAGCGATAAAAAATCATGAGTAGATACGGAAACCCATGGTGTCTCATGGAATGGGTGTCTAACCCTTATGCTCAACGCGAAAGATGGCGGCTAAGAGCAAGTTTACATGAATGCAAAGATCAGGGTAGTTACGAGGACTATTTTGAAATAGTGAAAACAGCGTGGAGAACCTCTGACATGAACATATTGATCTGGGCTCTGATTGATTCACCCGAAGCATATCGACAACGCATATTCCAAGAAATCAAAGAAGATTCCCCAGCAACTTATGCTGAACTGGTCGCATCAATTTCGTCACTGCAGAAAGAAAATAAGTCTGCTCAAGGCATGGCTTTTCAGTGCGTTTCAGTCCCTGAATACCTATGCACATTGCCTGTATCGGCTCAACGATGCTCTTTTTGTAGAGGGAACTTTCCCGAAGGCGCTGACATCATGTGGAAACCTTGCAAAAAGCACGCCTGGTGTTTAAAATGTTTTGAGAGTTGTTCTTCCCGAAGCTTGAAGCCAGTGTATATTAGCTGCGCTTGTATTGCGCCTGAGGCACTGAAGTATGATTGAAAGAATTTAGAAAGCTATGGAAAACGATGGAGAGATCTTTGTGATATTGCGCTGCCCCATGCTTGCGAATTGCTGAACAGCCTTTAGTTATTATCTAGTCCGTATCCTTTAATTGTTACCCATACGTTGAAAGGCTTGCTCAGGTGCTTTGTCTTGCTTGCTGTTGCTTGTGATTTACATCATTATATGTGCGTCCGCCAAGCTCATTGTCAGACGAAGGGAAGGAACTCTTCCTTAATCAGATATTAGTGAGAATCTGGACAGAGATAAAGTGGTAAAGACTCTCAAGCCAGGGCTAGTAAGGGAAATGTAATATTAGAGCTTAGACTTGCAACACTTTTGCTATAGAATCTACCGTAGGAGGGTTATATGATATCTCAAATACTTCTAAGCACCTGATGATATAATAAAGAACAAAATTAATTCTCCCCTTACTATATAGTATTATACCAACAACTCCCAGAGTAAGTTTTGAGTCGCATTGTTGCGTGAAATCCTTTGGGGCAAGAACGAACCGAAAAGCATGAATACACAGCGTTGTAGTCTTACCCACACAGGGTTCATACAAAGACAATATAAGCAATTACGAATACCGCCAGCCGAACTGGAACAACTCTATTCTACGTTTCATATTGCGATGTCATTGTGCAATAGAACACGGAGGCACAGCTCGAGGCAGGGATCCCACAGGATATAAGCATTCCGTCTAAGTGATTGAGGGATATGAATCCGGATAAAAATAGAATGACATACTGAAACTATCTCTTAATACCTTCCTCAGCGCACCTCACCGTTTGACAAAGTAGTACAATACGCAATCCTTCGTATATGTCCCACCCGCTTTCGGGCATTTATAGTTGATACTCTCAAGCACCCAACGGCACGCAACCATGTTTTCCGCCCCAATGGAAAGATTTGGACATGAGGGCAATACCTGCATTCCAATTAGGGTGTCGCCGTAGGGCAATGGTTGGATGGGATGAGCTGCGTCAAAAGTCGCATTCTGGAGTCGATCACAGAACGACCTGGCAAACTCAATCCTTGATGTTGGACTTGAGACAAAGCTAGATACCGTCGTTTGGGTCTCGTTCCAGCATAAAATAGAACTAGCTGTCCCTGTGGCCGCATGTGGCTTTGTTCGTGTCTCAATAGTGCTAGATATCTCTGTTGATTTAGGACCATCCGTGGTCGTATCAGGCGCTGCTCTCGGTATCAGACCACCACCAAAAGCTTCCGTGTGCATCGATAATTGATTCAATCTAGAAATAGACGTGTTATGATTATCCCTTGCAGTTATTGAACTGGGCTGATTCAAGGCTGCAAGCGTTTTTGACGTAGCACCATGAAGCTCCAACGTTTTCGGGCAATTGTCAGACCACGAGGCTGGTGGAATGAGTGCCATATTTGCATGGTAAGGGATCTTGTATCGCTTTCCAGGAACAGCCGCCATACCGACATCAACACCAGGATTAAGGTTTGAAATATCTTCATAGTCCAGCTTAGGCAGAGCTTGCCCCAACGTCTCGCTTAGTTTAGCCCTGTCCTGCGAGATCCATATGGCATAGTTGGAAGTGCAGGTGCCTCTTGCCAGCGAAACATACCAGAGCCATAGAACTGCCTACATATTTTAGGTTAGATGGTTTGAGGGATCTAGGATCTTGCGGGTCTCATCAGATCCTATATAACTTGGGGCCAAGCCTATTCGGGCCTGTTGCGTCAAATTTAGTTGAGTAATTTGAAAGCGCAGCGAAGACGAAATTAGCAGCTCTTCCATTGATCACACTGAGTCTTAGCGACTACAAATACAGACAAGCACAAGAGAGGTCACTATTGGCAGTATGATATTATACTTATTTCAGCTAACATACAACGAATGTAAGACGTACAATTCCACCCGAAGCCGGTCAACCGAGCCAAGCGTGTTCTGGACGTATCGTGTTTATTAAAGGATTTTCTTTTTTTTTTTAAAAAAAAAAAAAAAAAAAAGCCGAAAAAAAGAAGAAGAAAAAGAAGAAAAAGAAGAAGAAAAGAGGACGCGGGCCGGGGCTCTATTCAAATTTGTGATAATCGCCATATTTTTCTTTATGCTTGCGACTTATCATGCCACGCGGCCTCTCATGATTGGCTTTTTCAAGGTCAACATATGTTGTCCAGGACATCGCATCTGGACTAAATCCGGACTCCAACACAATATGACGATCTAGACTTTTAGTACATACTATACTATCTAAAAAAGCCGAAGTTAGTGACAATACAGCAGCAGCTATAGAAATTAGCGACCGCATAATTATGGATCGTTCCGGTACTTTCTAAATTCGGTAAGACGTTGACTCCGAAAGCTTGAACTCATTCTATCATCACAATCAACGCTGCTTAATGAGGTCGCAATGCTACCAGAACCGACCAGTCATCTCTAAACTACATACCAGCAGACAGGTTCTGGGACTTTCTGGCCGTGAAGTGAGTAGCTTCGAAATGCCTTAGCGCGCGCACGGAAAATGCAGATATCGATTGATCCACTATTTCTAACTCAATTCTGAGAAGGTCTACTAATATGCATATTGGCGCCAAGATTAGATCACCGTATAGAATCTACATCGTCTGAAGTGAACATGACACAAAGAACGTAGCCCCAACGTCACTAATCTTCCGCTCACAGGCCTGTTACGTAACTCATGATAGCTGGTGACTCATGCGCACTGGGTCAATGAACTCAAATGGAAGAAACCCTATGCATAGACTGTTCGATGCTATTTGATCCAAACTTCTTGAGCTGCCTCGACTTGTTGGGAAGGTTACTCTAGAACCTATTGGATTCTCTGCCTAGTTGAGCCCTGAACAAACATAGAATCGAAATTGATCGTCAGTTATGTCGAACTCAGCCTGAAAGTTATATTTATCAATGTTGAAGGAAGCAACAGGCGTGGGTCCTACTAATATGGCCTCGCACAGTCCACGTGCATCTTGAAGCCATATACGCAACATGTCGGTTTCGTTTTGCAACCGATTTTCAAGTTCTTTAATCAGTGGACCCTGGGCGTCCTCTGACAACCGATAACCGCTAAAGTCATTTACAAATGCACAGAGTGGTACCAAGGGCCCCAAGCCGTGTTTCATACCAATATCACTTACCTTTTTCCAGAAGTTACAACTCCATAAATCTCTCTTCATGCGTTTCTCAGCATCCTCCCCCATCGCTGATTTCATTTCTATTATTCGCTCGTTATCTTCCGCCATCCAGTGGAAAAGGACAGCGTGGTAGCGACGATGAAGATTCCCACTGGTCCTTGAATACCTTAGAAGTGCCCTGAGAACAATCGGATCATCTGCAAAGGACACTAGGGCAGATCGTTTGAAGTGTATGGCATGTGAGAGATTATCTAAAATAACTTTACGATCATCCAAAGTTCGCTGTACGCCGCCTTCTGCTCTCTCGCTTGTGGCCCTTGGTTGCGACCTTCTCTTGCGCAACGTGTTGGCCGGATGCTGTGGCTGTAAACTGGAAAGTCCTGGGGGGCGGTCAGGGTCCGTGGAAGGCCCCAGCTCTGGGTTTCTGCTCATAGCGTTGGCTTCTTCCGCTTGACATATCATGGAAGATGCCGAGGAAATGGCTCGAGTTGCACTTATTGTCGCAGCCATCGCATCTTCGAAGAAGGACGATTCTTGTTGTCCATCACTTAACGCATGTCCGTGGCTTATCTGGTCGGCGGTTGAGGATAAGTATCCTGTATCTAACACTTGCTCTAAATTGATATGATGTAGGTCTGTAGAGGTCGGCTGAACCTTTTGACAAAGAAGTTCGATAAATATACAAGAACGGAAAGACTGGTTGAGCTCATCTGCGACCCTTTGGCTTAGATGAGGTTTGCGCTGTAATATAAGCTTGATGCCCATAAGCATGAACACGCCTGAATCTGCCAGGTTATTATTTTGAGGCCCCCGCCACCCTTCTACGACGGGTCGCGCACCAGCAATGGGAGGTACAAGGGTAGCACTATTGGGAGTACTGTCATACCAGTGGACGCAGTCTGAGTACGCAACAGCAAACGCCCAGTTGTTTTCATGACAGAACGGAATGATGATGGGATGGTCAATCCCTTCCGTCTCTTGAATACAGTTTTGATCGTGCCGAAGCATCCGAGCTGGAGCTATCTCTACATGGTGGCTTGTGGACCTTAGTAGTTGTAGGTAATCCTCCACAATCCCGAAATCAAGGTGGCCACCGCGTAGCAGATACCACATCGACTGGGTGATCCTGCTGTCTTCCGGGGGGCGCTTCAATTGCGACAACTTGTTTACACGTTGAGTCCAGGTTTCATCCACCGGACCGACCAAGTCTCGTAAAGACTCGTCGACATCTTCCTGAGTAGCCAGTTGGTGAGGCGGAAATGATGTTAAATCAGTAGAAAGAAGTCTGGAAGTACAATTTTCAAATCGTCTATGGGCTACGCGCGTGGCTGCCGACATCAGTGCCAGCGACGTTTTGGTGTGTGGCCGTAACGCGAGATGCTGAAAGTGTTCGTAATCATCCATTGGCTCTATGAAACTGGTATCGAGAGCGTTCCCCAACGTGAGTGCGAGGAAGACTTACCAACTGGGTACTCATTGTGCCACTTTATATGGCACTGAAAGTGGTTTTTGGACTCATCACTTCCCTCAAGTTGGAAACTGGCCGCGAGTAACCTGTATACTGCAGAGTAAAGTCCGATTCAGCCGACTTTGGGCACCACGAATGGGCTATGAAACCAGGTAAGAAAAGCATGTCCGTCGTAGTTTTGCTGTTCATTCTGGCCACTAGACTATGACAGGTGAGATGCGAGAAATAAGACGTCGTTTTGCAATCGCACCTTGGCAATGTTTAGGCTACGTACAGTACGTACATTTGGTTGCAATGTTCAACGAATCTAATGATTTGTCGAACTTGCCTCACGTGATTTCGTTGTTCTGGAAGATGAATCTCTACTGTGTTCTATTTACAAAATCTCATGCCCGAGACACAGTAAATGAAAGTCTCTCCAAAGTATCAGAGTGCAGAATGCAAAATGAAGTTCTCGACAGGAGAGAAAGCCCATTGTTGGCTTGTTGTTCATAATTCCAACGCTGCAGAGGAGCGCATGAATCATGATGATGAAGTTGAGATTGGCTGGGGCTTGTTGTATTGAACCTCGAGACCTTAATACAGTCGACTGATTATGTCGATTTTGCCAAGATCTGCGATACATGAGCAAATTTGATCATGAGACCGTTCTAACGATAGGATGACGGATATGATCGCCTGGCTGAATCTCTCCTACAGTTGTCTTTCCTCACTTGTCAAGCCAGTTTTAATTGGCTTCACCTTGTCAGTTCTGTGCTCTATATTTGCAGAGAGGTAGTCATCACAAGGCCGACAATGAGATCGGTGACATACCAATAGAGTATCGATCAACAGGGTATACACATTCTATGGTATCACGGAATGGTATAGTCCACCGTAGTAGCTTGCTAGACTTTTCTACGACGGCAAATGCTATGTCGAGCACGCTCAATGAAGTCAAAGTGTGCCTCATGATAGGCGAGTTGTGGTCCATGCTTATGCAGTGATTCCTCTGTCAATTGACACGGACGGCTTCGAAAACAGATTCTTGTACGGCTCTGTTATGGGGAGAGAAAAGGAGGATGGAAAATAGAAGAAAAGAAAATGAACGTCAGATTCTAAAGCTATTCTTGCTGATATTACTATTACAAAAATGAAACTGAAAGGTTATAGTATTCTATTGAGAAGAAATATAGCTACAGATATAAACAAGAATGCAAAAAAAGTATTGCAAGCTAGAAACAGAGCAAAAGGTAAAGATTATATAAATACAAGGCAATTCAGGCGCCATGGGATAAGCCTTAGTAGCATCTACAAATGAAAGGATAATATCGGTTTGATAATGAAAGGAGTGACGACGGAGAAGAAAAGGCTTCGTCCTTATGTTTGACCTGGCACTTGTCATGGTTGTTGGAATCGTACTACGGCGGCTAGCAAAACAACGCTTGATCCCGCAAGCTTCTTGATCCTCTGTCGCTGTTGTTGATTTTAAAAAACCGTCTGGCCATTATTTTCCATCAATGAGCCACTACCATAGAGCGAGGTGTGGTTCCCAGTGGTTGCTGAAACCGTCTCATTGTGCTGAGCCTGTGTTTGTTTCGAGGACGCGGTGAGCCATTTGGCTCCACCCGCTGGGAGGCGTCACGATGCGCCTTGGGCCGACTCGATGATTTATATCGTGACTGGGTGCTATGTCGGGAATCCGAATCAAAACCTTCGTCATCGTCGAGTAGAGGAGTCTCGACAGACTGATAGATCTTCGAACTCGGGCTCTCCTCAACCGTCATCGCCCTAAACTTGGCAACCTCACCATCCATGGGCGATGGCGACTTGGTGCGATCTCGAATCTCAAACGGCTCCCCAGGATTCATGGCCTGATAGTACCTTTTCTCATACAAAAAGGCCCACTTGAATAACCTGTAGTCCTCGAAGGCCTTGTGATTCACTCGAGTCCTCCATTCAGGGTCATCGCGCGTCTTATACCAATAACGGTATCCGTCTTCCTTGCGGTCCAGATACGTTTGCTTAGCGGACAGATCCCTTGCCTCATAATTATTGCGCCACCATTGACGGTTCACAAATGTGACTGTCTGATCAACCCATCGAATTCCGACCAATACGGTTTGCATCCATTTGAATTTGGACGGGTTTTCTGGATCCAGCTTGCATAGAAAGTCTTCGTAGTTCAATTCGCTCCCAAATGCTGCGACGCCCAGGACGTAAGCTACGTCACGCCATTTCTTATCCGCATGTAGAGCTTGATACTTCCCACCGGTTACTGGTAAGACTTCCGCGGCATTCTCGTTGAACTTGCCGTCTTTCAAGGTTTCAATTCGTAAGATGCTTCGGCCATCAATTCTATATTCATTTAGGTATCTCGGCCTTTTCCCTTCTTTCACAAGCCCAAGCGTCGTCATGTTCTCAGGGCAAGCTTGGCTGCCGACTAGATCCTTTTCGAGGTCAGGGTCGCCAACTCCATCATCTTCAGGAAAGGGAGAGGTTCTTGTTGTCGTTTGTGCCCGTGGAGAGAAGGGAGCGGTCTTCGCTTTTGCAGATGGATGAAAACTAAAGCTGTGATCTGTTTTCGCCTTTTTAGCATTGGGGTCTTCTACTACTGGACTGAAAGCCCTGGCATTGTTGGCTGAGTTGTCTTTATCCACTTTACGCTTGAAGAATCCAGATAAAAATGGGTTTTCGTTAGTTGATTGATTGCCATTGATCTGACCAACGTGATTTGTATCCTTTTGCCCAGGTCTGGACTCAGTGTTCTGAGTAGATTGATTTCCATTGTTTTGACCAGGTTGCTTTCCATCGTTCTGAGCAGTTTGATTTACATTGTTTTGGCCAGGTTGTTCTCCATTGTTCTGACCACCGTGATTTACATCCTGTTGTCCAGGTTGGTTTTCATTGTTCTGAGTAACTTGATTTGTATCTTGCTGGCTAGGTTGACTGCCATCTGTCTGGTTAGACAAGCCAGAGTTGTTTTCTTGTTCTTGTTCAGTACCATCATCGCTACCCATCGGGACGTCGTCTTGTGGCGGTTCTTGCTTTAGCTTATCTGGTGTGGAAGTCATGTTCAGGCTACAGCGTAGATGTCTTCTTGTCAGCCCTGAGAATATGTGGACAACTCGTACAACTTATATACATATAATAGTCATGCGTCAACTATACAGGAGGCCTATTTTGGCCAGAAAAAAGGTACAATATTGGCTGCTTTAATTAAATTATCTAAATTCTCTCTAAATAAGTCAATTAAGGCTTAAAATTACCCACCTATAGCTACTTATAACCTGCCTATAGGTAGGTCTAAATAGGTTGATTAGGTAGGTTAAAAAAGCGGCCTAAATTAGATGTTTAAATTAAGTACAATATTCTTTTAGGTATGAAAAAGAGGTAAAACATAACACTAAAATCGCTATTTCTAAGTAAAAGAATGAAAATAAAATTTTAATATATACAATAAAGTATGTCTTTTACTGTGTATTTCATATAAATTTATTTTAATTAATTAATTGCTATTTAGATAGTTATTAACGGTATAAAGTAATTTCTAAACACTTTTAAATTTTTTTTCAACTTTGTCCTATTAGGTTCGAGTTATAAGTATTTTAAATGTAGATTGTGCTTGAGGAGACTTTTACTTACGAAAACAAACCAGGCGGTATGGGTCTGATAATTATTGATCCTCTGGAGATCAAGAAACTGTTGATCTTCATGTTCTCAAATCTTTCCTCGCGCCTTGTTCATAGCATGACATCCTTCAAGTAACCTCGACACTCCACCATAGTTTCTAGCCCTGTTAACACTCACGATCTTGTTTTCCTTGAAGACAACCATGAGGGCAGGCTGCAGCGAAAAAGCATCAGACAAGACTCTACTTTTACTCATTAAACACCTTGGGGTTGTATTTCTCCGAAAACCTACGAATGCGTAGGCAGGAGTTGCCAAATATACCGCTGCGTACATCAGCCACCTGGCTGTGACGAATGTGGTTTCAAACAGGAAACTAGTCCGTACTAGGTTTATGTTTGCAGATGGCGTAGGGCGTTAATACTGAGCGGGTTGGTTGTCACGTCTCTTAATGATCAAGTAATGCGTGTTAGGCTTATTGATGTAAAGAAGTCTTATTGATAGCTGGTGAGCTAGATCTATGAAAGTGCTAACGAATGTGGTCTATATACTAGAGGTGATCTGAGAGGATCACTGAGGTAGTTGGATCACGGTGATCCTGGATCACGGAGGTTCCTGGAGCGTCGTGATCCTGTCTGTGAGGTGATCTAACTCTGATTGGTCCGTAACCGTTGAGGGGCTGATGCCTTGCATGAGTTTTTGTGGGGTACACGTGACGTAACCGCTAGGGTCGTAACACTGGCGGGCTCCAACATTTTACTCGTGCCCATAGAAATTGTCGCAAGACTGTTGTTGGCGCTAATTAGCGTAAGCCTGCAAGTGGCAATGCTCCGCAGCAAGAACCTGTTTGCCCCACATAACTGGTCCATACATTTCGAATTTTAGACGGGCACGAAGGCCAATGAGAGAGGTTGAGCTTTTGCTGCTAGTTCCTCACGTAAAGCATTAAATACGGTGGCTCGTCCACCTCCACGATCGTATGGCAATAAATGGTTCGCAATCGTATTCCCCTCAGCAATACCGGTCGTCGACGATCTGAACTTACACTTTCTACCTAAGCAACGCCAGTACTCACGCCCCTATTTTGTATCTATAACCATGGTCTGTGAAGAAACCCTTGAAGAAATTCTAGTCTGTGTTCCCACTTCGGTAAGTTAAACACGCAGTGGCTTGCAAAGTCGCTTGAAATAATTTGAACTACTCTACAACTGAATTAAGGACGTGCAGGCAAATGACAGCTCCTGTAAAAGGAGGAAGAAATCAGCTTCTATCGCCAGGTCTGTCTCTACCTGTGGAGGCGAAAGACATGGCAGATGTGTGCCGAGGCCAAGACGTGAAAATGTCATAAAAGACGACAAATATTCTCATCAGAAAATGAGAATAGAGCATGCTCAAGACAGGAAACCGTCAGCTCTGCGTCGGTCTTCGCGGCTATCTCAAAAAACCGAGAATCAAGAATGTCTCCCTGAGTGTGCGCTTGGCATCGTTTCAGGGGATATCTCTGGAAGGATCCAGTGTGATATCACCGACGACCGCGCAGGTGCAGCGGATGATGTGATTGTTTCCATTATGAGCTCACCTCATTATCCGCCAGACGATTACGAGGCTACGGTTGAAGTTCTAGCACTTGAACCCCAACAGAAGGACGACAAGCCCCAGATGAAAATCATTCCCCGCCTTGAAGAATCAGAAGGAGGTCGCCTAAAATGCGACCAGAGCTCGATGTCTCCGACATATCACAACGAACACACTCTGAAAGTCGCGAACACCAACACGGGAAACATACCTGCACAATCACACGACAGGCTCGATACAAGGCCAGAGTCGAATAAGACTGTAGCCATCTTGGATGATATTTCTTAGCATAAGCTTCCTAATGCATCCCCGTTAGTCAAGGAAAAGTCTCCCAAAGTGTCCAAGCCCAAGAACGAAATAAGAAAGAAAGATGCAATATCATCACCGACCACTACAAAAGCGACTTCACTACCAGGGATCAAGTCTTTTCAGCTAGACGCGTTCGTGGGTCAGAAAAGAAAACATGATATCCAGGGCCGTCCCTCCGGTATCGGCCTTAGAGAGCTCCACGAGCTGTCGCTTCAGCCCTGGTTTACTTACGGAGCAGCGAGATGGAAGAAGATGCAAGCGCAGATGCTGTCGGCCACAAAGGATGTTGCTCAATTAAATACAACTGCAGAGTATTATTATCCCTGAAGCCACGTAAGTGCCCACGGTCAAGCTCTTAAGCGCGGTGATACACTACTCGCTACCATGAACCCTGTTAATATTCACAATGATTGACTTAGCGATAGGGATCAAAAACCAAACCAAATCATGAATACGGATTCACAAAAGCCAGCTGAAGCAAGTTTAAGTTAATCTAGTCAGGTAGATACAATCAACTATCAATAGACTCCTAACTTCCCGTCTCTTGTTCGTTAGTCGTTCATTCTATATTTGAAACCAAGGAAACCATTCTGCCTTCTCCAGGTCCGCGGTCTCGTTCACTGGGGCCTTTCTGTCTAACCTTGTTGAAATCACTTCCGGAATATCGGCGTATAGCTGAAGTTTCCGCCTTAATAGATGGCCTGACCCGCAGCCGGAAGAAGATGGCTGGTTGTACATCGTTGACTATTTCAGCGGTTATTGGTCTTATAGCATACGTGATCAAGTCCAAATTGAGTTGAAAGTTAAGAGAGGATCCGCATCCGTCTGCCACCTTGTCATTTGGGGTTCTTGATGCCGGAGACCATTCCATCGGGTCCATCCCATTGTACATTTATTGACCGGGGTCCCGTAGAGATTTATCCGTGGTTCCAACGTAATATCCTCACCTCTCGACATGCGGTCAGCCTCGCCACTTTGGCCGACTTTCTTAGCCTACACTGTTTCTCTCTGGATATCAGATGTCTACGCTAGTCGTCTGACTTCTCGTAGCTTCGCGTTCATTACCCCCCACGCAGAGTACTCTAGCTCCGTAGGAGTCTTGGGCTGTAAGGTTGATACGAATCGTGTCGCTTACTGGCCTTTGGACGTCGGATGCGATGGAATATGCGTCAGAGTCTCAAATGAGGGGCGCTCCCTTCATCTTCTACATATTGATAAGTCTGGGGGTGCGTATGATATTTCGTACGATGCTTGGAACTTCCTAGGTTTCGGTGCATCAGCCATCGACGACCCCTAGGTCGGTGGAGGGATCCAAATGTCATACGAGATCGTCGACACATCGGAATGTCGACATTTGCTTCACCAAGGTAAACTGCCCCAGTCCGCCGCCAATAGCATGAATTATGTCTCGTCGTGCATCAGCCAGCCTACGAGCTGGGTCGCGCAGAATTATCAATTGTACAATATCAATGACCCCGTTTGCAAATATGGCGTCGACGAGAAATGTAACCTAGATCTGACTACAAGTAATCAGCCACGCTGTCCAAGCGTTCTGGGTAATTCTCTACAGATTGAATCGAGGGTTAAGAATGTCGCGTACGGTACCGGAGAAATCGTCCCGGTGTAGATGATCCTAGAGGCCGATGCATTGCTTTGACAGACTGACTGGGGTGCGTCATTGGAAGTTGCTGTAATTTGTTATGTCTCTTCTGTATGTGGAGGAATACTTATCTATGTATGTATGTATGTATGTATATTTTTCGTCCGGGGGCCGTGAGGCCCGTAAAGTCCCCTATTGGGGCACAGGACGTGCT